ACATGTTGAAGGACTTCACCAAAAAAGAATTTTCCTCCTACCTTATTTCCTTCCTGAGTTATTGCATGTCAAATAAGAAAGATATGCAAAATAAAAATAAAAAAAAAGGTCCCACTTTATATTAAGTGGCCCTAATACCTGTGAACTTACATGGTACCTAGATATGTACTTAGTATGTAACTACAGTGTAAATACACATTGGTACATAGTATTTACAACTGTAATATTTGTGTAACTACACATATGTAACAACCCACGGAAAGGTATGTGTAAGTACAAATGTGTAACAGGACATTGGTAACAACACTTTTTCCACTAAAGTAAGTACACATGTGTAACAGGCATTATGTAACTACATTTTGTAACAACAATATGTATTCACACAAGTTGTTCCACTTCCACACGCAGTCTTCCATACTGTAGTTACCAGTTAAGAACACACTGAAACCATGATGATTCCTATGTGTATACCATGTATTTACTATATGACCGGCAGGACTTATGTTGAATTGCAGCTAAAGTTTTCCCTTGTGGTACCAGTGTACATACATGATAACTCCTCAGGAACTGTCCACTTAATATAAAGTGTAAAATGGTCATAACTTACTGTGTATTATGCAAAACCCAACCCTGTGCAACACTGTATTAACAGTGTACTTACATGGTAACTCCTCAGGAACTGTCCACTTAATATAAAGTGTAAAATGGTCATAACTTACTGTGTATTATGCAAAACCCAAACCTCTGTGCAACTGTACTAACAGTGTACTTACATGGTAACTCCTCAGGAACTGTCCACTTAATATAAAGTGTAAAATGGTCGTAACTTTCTGTGTATTATGCAAAACCCAAACCTCTGTGCAACTGTACTAACAGTGTACTTACATGGTAACTCCTCAGGAACTGTCCACTTAATATAAAGTGTAAAATGGTCATTACTTACTGTGTATTATGCAAAACCCAAACCTCTGTGCAACTGTACTAACAGTGTACTTACATGGTAACTCCTCAGGAACTGTCCACTTAATATAAAGTGTAAAATGGTCATTACTTACAGTGTATTATGCAAAACCCAAACCTCTGTGCAACTGTACTAACAGTGTACTTACATGATAACTCCTCAGGAACTGTCCACTTAATATAAAGTGTAAAATGGTCATTACTTACTGTGTATTATGCAAAACCCAAACCTCTGTGCAACTGTACTAACAGTGTACATACATGGTAACTCCTCAGGAACTGTCCACTTAATATAAAGTGTAAAACGGTCATTACTTACTGTGTTTTATGCAAAACCCAAACCTCTGTGCAACTGTATTAACAGTGTATTTACATGGTAACTCCTCAGGAACTGTCCACTTAATTTAAAGTGTAAAACGGTCATAAGAGAGACCATCTCAGCAAACCCAAACCTCTCATAGTTTTATTAACAATAGCATTAAAATATATTTTGAGCCACTAATCCTACTCATACCCCTAAACCTACCCATAACCATTCCTTAAAACTACGTAGGCTAACGTTACACTTATGCAGAAAATAAAAACATAACAGACAGACAAGTAACGTTATAAATTTCACAATAATTTGTTTATTGCGAAAAATGTTAAAAAAAACGGTACCAAAAGACGTCGTTCACATGATGATGCGTTGCAGCCGCTGAGCCGCAGTCCTCTCTGGCAGTATTATAACAGTTGTGTATGAGGTACAGATCAGAGTATAAATTATTAATCCATGAAAATGTTAATCCGGTTTCGGTTCGCTCTGTGAAGGCAATGGTGAAGGCGCGCGCGCTTCTCCATTTCAAATGTACTACACCGACTGAAACACGGCATGTCGCAATCTGTGACGAAGCAGGCGAGAGCCAATGAGCGTTTGACATCACGGCCGTAAAACATGTCGTAACGCTTCTTGAAGGCGCATTTTTTGAATTTGAATTCATCACCAGCGCGCCTGAGCGCGGGATTTGACGTTTGCGGTCGCTGCTGAGAAATGGAGATGAAGATCATAAAGGGCTGAATTTGGATCTGTTTCTTGCAAACAACGTATGGATTCTAAAGATTTGGATTACATTTACATCAGGCTAATACAATTTATGTTTTTTTGTGAATTTATGTTGTGTTTTATTGGAGAAAACGCTTTTTGTGTCTCACGGTAAATGAACTAAATACTACAAAATGGTTAAACGATTAAACAAGGTATTTTTAAGGTTTTAAAGTGTATGCTATTCTTGTTTATTGTTTACAGAACACTGTAATTTACTGTAAAGGCAAATAGGTCACCACAATGTCAAATAAAAAAAATCTAAAATAAAGAGTAAATCTTTAAAAGTGCTATGCCGTAATATCCCAGAATCTATCAAAGCATAACTATCACATTTATATTTCAGAGTTTAATATCCACTATGTAACCTTGTGGTTGTATTTACTGTGGTACACAACAATGACCCTAACAATTACACTTTATATTAAGTGGACAGTTCCTGAGGAGTTACCATGTAAGTACACTGTTAGTACAGTTGCACAGAGGTTTGGGTTTTGCATAATACACAGTAAGTTATGACCATTTTACACTTTATATTAAGTGGACAGTTCCTGAGGAGTTACCATGTAAGTACACTGTTAGTACAGTTGCACAGAGGTTTGGGTTTTGCATAATACACAGTAAGTTATGACCATTTTACACTTTATATTAAGTGGACAGTTCCTGAGGAGTTACCATGTAAGTACACTGTTAGTACAGTTGCACAGAGGTTTGGGTTTTGCATAATACACAGTAAGTTATGACCATTTTACACTTTATATTAAGTGGACAGTTCCTGAGGAGTTACCATGTAAGTACACTGTTAGTACAGTTGCACAGAGGTTTGGGTTTTGCATAATACACAGTAAGTTATGACCATTTTACACTTTATATTAAGTGGACAGTTCCTGAGGAGTTACCATGTTAGTACACTGTTAGTACAGTTGCACAGAGGTTTGGGTTTTGCATAATACACAGTAAGTTATGACCATTTTACACTTTATATTAAGTGGACAGTTCCTGAGGAGTTACCATGTATGTACACTGTTAGTACAGTTGCACAGAGGTTTGGGTTTTGCATAATACACAGTAAGTTATGACCATTTTACACTTTATATTAAGTGGACAGTTCCTGAGGAGTTACCATGTAAGTACACTGTTAGTACAGTTGCACAGAGGTTTGGGTTTTGCATAATACACAGTAAGTTATGACCATTTTACACTTTATATTAAGTGGACAGTTCCTGAGGAGTTACCATGTATGTACACTGTTAGTACAGTTGCACAGAGGTTTGGGTTTTGCATAATACACAGTAAGTTATGACCATTTTACACTTTATATTAAGTGGACAGTTCCTGAGGAGTTACCATGTATGTACACTGTTAGTACAGTTGCACAGAGGTTTGGGTTTTGCATAATACACAGTAAGTTATGACCATTTTACACTTTATATTAAGTGGACAGTTCCTGAGGAGTTACCATGTAAGTACACTGTTAATACAGTGTTGCACAGGGTTGGGTTTTGCATAATACACAGTAAGTTATGACCATTTTACACTTTATATTAAGTGCAGAGTTCCTGAGGAGTTACCATGTAAGAACACTGGTACCATAAGGGAAAACTTTAGCTGTAATTCAACAAAAGTCCTGCCGGTCATATAGTAAATACATGGTATACACATAGGAATCATCATGGTTTCAGTGTGTTCTTAACTGGTAACTACAGTATGGAAGACTGCGTGTGGAAGTGGAACAACTTGTGTGAATACATATTGTTGTTACAAAATGTAGTTACATAATGCCTGTTACACATGTGTACTTACTTTAGTGGAAAAAGTGTTGTTACCAATGTCCTGTTACACATTTGTACTTACACATACCTTTCCGTGGGTTGTTACATATGTGTAGTTACACAAATATTACAGTTGTAAATACTATGTACCAATGTGTATTTACACTGTAGTTACATACTAAGTACATATCTAGGTACCATGTAAGTTCACAGGTATTAGGGCCACTTAATATAAAGTGGGACCAAAAAAAATGATATATTGTCTTTTATCAGCAGTTTCTCAGCAGGAGAATGTCCTAATCTAATGTATATTTTCTAAAAATGTAAAAAGTGTTCTATCAAACGATACCTACCTTTTGACTCTCCTTGCTATAGTTTTGGAGTTATGAGTCTTTAGTTTTGTGTATGTCACTCAGAAAAGAACCATTTTATAAATGCCTTCCAAATGTGTGAGGACTAAACAAAAAGGCTACCTTTGTTCCAAATGCTGTAACTTTTTATTACTTTATGCTATCACCACAAAAGTTGATCCAGATGTAGGGGAACTTCACCAAAAAAGAATTTTCCCCCTACCGTATTTCCTTCCTGAGTTATTGCATGTCAAACAAGAAAGATATGCAAAATCATAATAAAAATTATATATAATTTTTGTCTTTTATCAGCAGTTTCTCGGCATGACAATGTCCAAATGTAATGTATTTATTTATTTATTTTTAAATTTGAAGTGTGTTCTATCAAACGATACCTACCTTTTGTTATGAGTCTTTTGTGTGTCAATTAGAAAAAACAACTCTAAAAATACCCTCAGGGCTTAAGAGGTTAAATTTACCACCTTACCACAAACAATTTGTGCTATGGATACTTTAAAACCACAATTAATTTGCTTGTTGAGGAGAGGCAAGGCACCAAGTTCTAAATTTACCAAAGTAGGGGTGATATTTTATATATTGTATCTAACTATTTTACTAAAAACATGTAATCTAGATTACATTTAATTTGTAGTATTACTTCAATAATGACAGGAACACCTTTAAAATTCGACAAAATATTTATTTTTAAAATGGAAAAATTCACCACTGAGTTGGGACACTACAGGCCCTTGATTGAGTAGTCACGGGTAAAACCATGCATGTCTCCTCCGTACCATGGTTAAAAGTTAAAAAATACATTTATATTTTTTTCCACAGATTCTTTCTCACAAGGTGAGCCCAGAGTGTTGGGACTGGCTATGATCCCCGGCCATCATGTGGTTTCTATTGAAGTGGAATCTGAAAGCCTTCAGACCACCACCCATGGACTCTGACAACTTTAGAGACATTTGGGGTCACCATATGGACTATAGAGAATGTAGTTTCCATGCACACTTTGTATCTGCAACTACGGAGATGGCAGTAAAGATCCTCTAGAGCTGGAGTTGTAACCCAATAGGAATTTTCCCGGTGTTTTTCTTCTTTTTTTTCTTTTTTTTTTCAGGGAAATGCAATACACAGTGGTTTGGTCCTCTGTGTTGAAACAAAAATAATTAATAACAGTGTGACTTGTAAACTGTATCCTTTTGCTTGTGTGTTTGCTTCTTTGTGAGCAGTGCACATTGTGTATGTAATTCTATGGACATTGCAATTTTTCAATAAGAGTTTAATAATCACTCTGATATTTGTATGATGTCATTGCACCATTTATTAATATTTCCTCATTACCTCATATCACCAGCAGAGGTCATTCACAGACTTTATTCTTTTACATGTTGATTATTATTGCACATATATAAACAAAATGGCATCTTTCAACTGTGCTAAAATTACGAGAGTGCAAATATTTTATATATATATATCAATACATTACAAAATTAAAAGGAAATGTTTAGTTTTGTACTGAATTCATATCTATTTCTAACAACATGATATTAACTAATCAATGGATATAGAAATAGAATGACTAAATAGCATCTTGGTTATTTAGTTATCCAATATAATTGTCAAGTTAATGTAAAATGAAAAGATATACAGTATATTTTAGTATTATCAAAATCTCACTGCTCTTTTCTTGTAAATTCTTGTACACAACAATTATTTACTGCATGCAAATACTTTTATCATTGACCAAATATACAATTATAACTTTAGTTTGCAGTGGATATAAAAAGTCTGCACACCTGGTTTGTATCACAAAAACAGCTGGTTTTGGTGATGTAAGAACTGCAAGATAAATTATATCAAAATCTTCAATGTGAAAATTACAGACTTTGCAATGCCGCTGAAAAACAGAGATATTTCAGAAAAAAAGGATAAAAATAAACACGAACCTAACTGCATTCTTGTGCACACCATTTTATAATTGTGTATGTGGCTGTCTTTAGAATTAGCTAATCATCGACCTCATGTGAAATAATACACACCTGTCTTCACCTGAATTGACATCAAATAAATCTCAGCAGTTCTTGTAAGATTATTCTGACATGTTCTTGGTTGCATGCTGCTACAAGAGCCATGGGCCACAAAGAGCTTACAAAGCATTGCTCAAGTGATGTCTACAAAAAAATTCCAAGGCATTAGAATAGATATACCATGGAACACAGTGAAGACAGTCATCAACAAGTGGAATAAGTAGGGCACAACAGTAACATTAAGAACATAGCTTCCTTTTAAAATTGATAAGACAAAGAGAAAAGTGGTCATGGAGCCTGTCAAGAGGCCTACAGCAATGTAAAAAAGAGTTGTTAACTCCAATATTCATCTGTCTGGACTGTGGGGCAGGGTGGCAAGACGCAAGCCTTTTTCTGACTAAAAATAACGTCCAAGCCTGTCTAAACTCTGTAAAAACACATTTCCGGTCTCCCAAAACTATTTGGAAAAATGTGTTATGGTTAGATGAGACTGAGATTTATTTATTTTTTGGCCAAAAAAAAGAAAAAAAAAAGTGTTTGGTGTAAAAACAACAGATCACATGAGCAAAAGAACACCAACCCACAGAGAAGCATGGTGGTGGCAGCATCATGCTTTTGAGCTGATTTTTTGGAACTGGGGGTGCTTCTCAATGCTCAAATTGATGCTTCCTCGTTTCCTCGCTCCTGTGACCCGGAAACCGATCGAATTCAGCCATATTAAAGGACATCTCAATTCTATGAGGAGGCGAGGAACGAGGAGTGAGTAAGCTTCCAGAGGAGCTATGCGCGAGGATGCACGGGTGTATCCTGTACGGAAGTTTTTCTTGACGAGAAACCTGGTATAAATTCTCCTCCCCCTTCACATCTGTCACAATAATTTTAATTTATGCTTCACCTTTGCAAACCATATATCAACAGGGTATCTTGCTTTATCTTTATTATTTCTTAATTTCTTAAATAACCAAACTTTAACAACATGACTTTCCCACACTTGACTTTGAAGCTACATCAATTATTCCATCTGCCACTGTCAAAAACTTCATTCTTCTTCATCTATCATTATTAACCCTTCACTGACCTTCAACGCTTATATTAGTCAACTCTGTAAAGCTGCGTTTTTTCAACTTCGCCGTATTGCCATACTCCATCCCTATGAATCACTGGTACATGCGTTAATCACATCTCGACCCGATTATTGTAATGTTCTTTTTTCTGGACTACCAGCACACTCTATCTCGCGTTTGCAATATATTCAAAACTCTGCCGCAAGATTGCTAACGTACACTAAACGATCTGCTCATATCACTCCTATTCTGTTTAACCTCCACTGGCTACCTGTGTCTTCTCGTATTAGTTACTAAATTCTTCTGCTTACCTTTAAGTCACTCAATGCTCTTGCTCCTTCCTAGCTCTCTGACTTACTTTCTCATATTCCCTTTCAAATTCTCCGTACTTCTGGCTGTGAACCTCTGTGAGCCGAGATTTCGTCTATCATCTATGGGTGGCAGGTGTTTCTCCATTATAGCCCCTAAGCTAGGAACTCTTCCCCTGGCTCTTAGGACAACAACCACACTGCATGAATGTAAGTCTAAACTCAAAACCTATTTGTTTAACCAGTATTATCGATCATGACATGTTTTTCTTAAACATTTTCCATAACTCTGTATTACAGTCATAATGTATCCTTATGTACCATTATTATTTTGCATCTGACCTTTGCTTCAACTGCCCACCTTCTATGCTGTCTGTAAATAGTGTTTGTTTCTGTCATAGTGTCTGTTTGTATTCGATTGGAATGCAATATGCAACTGCAATCGCTCAATGTCTTGGACTGGGCAAATGGACAGTAGACATGTCCATTTATTATGTATAAACTGACTGTTTGTTCTTTACTGTTATTTTGAAGCATCATTGAGCTCGGGAAAGGCGCTATATAAATTAAACATATCATACTTATTATTATAACATAAAGGGCAGATCTTTTGAGCACAGCTGATGTTCCGGACGATTTTGGTACAGAACCTTCTGGGGTCTGCTAGAAAGCTGAAAATTAAGAGAACTTTCACCTTTCAGCATAACAATGATCCCAAACACATTTAAATCAACAAAAGAATGGCTTCACCAATGAAAGATTAATGTGGAATGGCCCAACCAGGGTCCAGACCTAAATTCTATAGAAAATCTGTGGGGGGACCTGAAGAGGGCTGTGTGCAGGTGATGTACTCGCATCTGAAACATTTTTGCAAAGAAAAGTGGTAAAATATTCCCATCAGGATGTGCCAAGCTGATAAACTCTTATCCAAACAGACAGAGTGATGTGGTGTGCCCACTTATGCAGTTAGTTATTCCAAGTTTTTTTCTCTCTTAAATTTATCAATTTGGTTCTCTTACGAGAGTATCTCTCGTACTGCGTAATAGCTTACGCTATGGGGAAAACCTCTTTTCCACGAGATATTGAAGCCAAAAATGATCCTTAATTTTTTATTAATGTAAAACGCTTTGCAGCAGCAAGCAAACATAGGCGAGACAGCTCGCGCGCCTATTGGCTGCTCTTGTGGCAAATGCAGCAGCCTATCGAGAGAGACTCTGCGTGACGTAATGACCAATGGGGGCAATTCGCGCCCATATCGTCACGTCCCGCCAGAAAGGGCGTGGTCTCGCCCTATAAATAAGCTCGGTAGGCTGGTACAAGCTGATTTTCATCTCTTCAGCGAAGCGTACGCATCGCTGGATCCGGAGTGAGAAGCCGCGCCGTCGACGCAAGCCTTTCAGCGGGACGAGCTTCTGGTCGCTGGCCTCGCCGCCTTCAACTGCCGTACCTGCTGCGCTTTCCGGCGTTCTATATCCTTTATATCCTTACTCTGCTGAGAGTGTTAGCTCGCTTACGTGACACGACTTGCACTTCTCATCACAAAAAGAGCTGCGTCTTTTTAAAGATGCCATCCTGTGGCGCGTGCCGCGCCCCACTCAGCGACGAGGACCGTCATGTCATCTGCGTGTCCTGCCTGGGTGAGGATCACGCGGCTATCGCGCTCGCAGACGGCGGATGCCCTCATTGCGAGCTTATGCCTATGGTGACTCTGAGGACTCGCCTGGCGTCATTCTCCGAGCCTTTACCACAGCCCGCCGTGGTGCCGCGCCGCAAGAAGCGCCGCGCCCAGCGCGCTCCCGAGCTCTCTCCAGCCCGCCAAAGCTCGCCGGTTCGCCCGCCAGCTTCGCCGGTTTCGCTCGAGTCGCTCACTGGCGGACAACGGCCGCCGTCTGCCGCCGTGTCCGTCCACGAGTTCAACGAACCCACCGAGGCGTGTTCTCTTCTGGCATCTGATAGCGAGGATTGGGCGAGCTCCGTGGACCTCCCCTCCGCTAGCGTTTCCCGCCAAACCACTGGGAAGAGAGCCGGCATTGAGACTGAGCTGATGCGTCTGCTCTCTCAAGCCGTGGAAAGCATTGGCCTCGACTGGGAGGCGCCCGCGCAACCGCCGCGCAACAGACTGGACGGACGCTTTCTCGGAAAAGACGAAGCTCCGTCAAAGTCAAGGCCCGCGCCCTTCCTCCCTGAACTACACGAGGAAGTGACTAAGTCGTGGAACGCCCCCTTCTCCGCCAGGCTGCGTACCTCTGCCTCTGCTGCATTCTCCACGGTGGATGGTGCGAAGGACAGAGGGTACCTCTCCGTTCCTCCTGTGGAACCGGCTGTAGCGTCTCATCTCTGCCCGCCCTCCGCTGGACGGCGCGCTCAGACGACGCTCCCATCTAAAGCCTGCCGAGTGACGTCAGCCATGCACGGGCGCGCTTACACCGCCGCCGGGCAAGCAGTTTCAGCGCTGCACACTATGGCTATCCTGCAGATCTTCCAGGCCGACCTTCTCCTTAAACTGGACGAGGAAGGGCCCGAAGCGATCTGCGTGGCGGACCTGAGAAGCGCTACAGACCTCGCTCTACGCGCTGCTAAAGCCGCTGCACAGGCCATAGGACGGAATATGGCCTCTCTCACCGTGGCTGAGAGACACTTATGGCTGACGCTGTCCGAGATGACGGAAGCCGAGCGCTCTGTGTTCCTCGACGCGCCCATTTCGTCAGCGGGCCTCTTCGGATCTGCCGTCAAGGATTTCGCGGACAGATTCATGGAGGTGCAGAAGACTTCGCAGGCTATGAAGCACTTCCTTCCGAAGCGCTCGAGCTCCGCTGCAGGCCGCTCAAAACAGCCGTCTGCTCGCAGCTCTCGGCCGCAACCTGCACCACCCGCCGCCGCCGCTTCACAGCGCCGCCAGGCCCGAGGCCCGAGACCAAAGACCGCGCTCTCGCTCTGCTGGACGCCGCCCCCCTCAGCGCGGGCCCCGGCCGAGGATTGAGATCAAGCCCGAGGCCTCAAAGCCTTCCTAGCCACTCTAGGAAAGCGACGGTGTTCGGATCCCGCTGCGGCCGGATTTCCACCAAAACTTCTCGCTCGGTCAGTTCCAAGCATTGTGACTGTCCCAGTGTATTTCGCAGTGAGCCAGCCGGTGTCTCAGCCCGCTTGCCTGCGCACAAAAGCCGTTTTTACGGCTACCCAGATAAATCCAATAAAGAGTGCATTTTCTGGTGTTCCGGCCACGGCCGATGGTGTTATGAGTGTTGTAAGAATGCCCACGCCCCAGTGCCCATTCCCACACCCAGACACAGCCCGCCACGGTGCAGGGCTAGCACAAATAAAATCGACTCAGGTCGATTGTGCAGACAATGTAGTGAACGCGCCCATGTCACAATGCCCGCTTACACTGCACGCTGCGTGTCCCTTGGTTTCTGTAAAAACGAAACCAACACACATTCAGTCGGCTCTAACCGACAGTGTTTTCAGTGTAGTAAATGTGCCCGCAGTTCCGTCCCCACATTCTCTCACAGACACACAGAATCCTACGGGATCCGCCCCGCTCACTTTCTCTGCACAATCTGCCATAGAGAAGCTGAGCGCGGCCGGGCTGCCCGCTGTGATCAGCGCGCCCCCCGCCTCAAACGCTGTAAACACGGTGTTGTGTTCCCAGTATACCAGGGCTCTCGAGCTGCCGTTTTGCCGCAGCCAGAGCCCGGATTTCATTCTGCCTCTAGCTATTCACGCAGATGCGTGGTCAAATCTTCCCGGGGTATCAGAATGGGTGCTGAACACTATAAAGAGAGGCTATTCGCTACAATTCGCTCGACGCCCTCGCCGTTATACGGCGTGTGTCGAAACTACGGTGAAAAACGAAGTGTCTCATCTACTTCTTGCCGAGATAGCGAAACTACTGAGCAAAGGGGCTATAGAACCTTTATCTCAGGCTCAGAGCGAAGGGGGCCTATACAGCAGATATTTTTTGGTACCGAAAAAAGATGGGGGTCTCAGACCCATTTTAGATCTGCGACAGCTGAACAGAGCGCTTGTGATGCGCCAGTTCAGAATGCTTACGACCAGGAAAATCCTCGCGCAAGTGCGCCACGGGGACTGGTTTATGTCAATAGATCTGAAAGATGCCTATTTCCAAATACAAATAGCCTCCCATCACAGGCGATTCTTGAGATTCGCCTTCGAGGGCCAGGCATATCAATACACAGTCCTGCCGTTCGGCCTGTCTCTAGCACCTCGTACATTCACGAAGTGCATGGACGCGGCGCTCGCACCCCTGAGACTTCAGGGCATGCGAGTCCTGAACTACTTGGACGATTGGCTGATTCTAGCTCGATCACGATCGGAGCTCATAGAACACAGGGCCGCATTACTCGAGCACCTCGAGGAGCTGGGCCTCACAGTCAATTGGGCGAAAAGCTCACTGTCTCCCAGTCAGAAAATTTCCTTTCTGGGAACAGTGTTAGACTCGCTATCCATGACGGCAGGCCTGTCACCGGAGCGCGGACTAAATATTCAGCACGTCGCGAAATCCCTCCGCCACGGCTCGATAGTTCCGCTCAAAAGGTTTCAGAAAATGCTGGGTCTAATGGCCTCAGCAGCCTCTGTACTCCAGCTGGGCTTGCTTCGCATGCGCCCACTGCAGATGTGGCTGAAAGCGCGGGTTCCACCCAGGGCATGGACAGCGGGTCTGTTTCGCCTCAGGGTCGACCTACAGTGCGTTTCAGCTCTGGAACCTTGGAAAATAACCGACTGGTATCAGTCAGGTGTGAGTCTGGGGACCGCTTCAAGTGTGAAGGTGGTGTCTACGGACACCTCCACCTCGGGGTGGGGAGCGCTGCTCGAGGGCAGACCGCTAGCTGGCCTGTGGTCAGAACGGGAAAACCTCCTTCACATAAACTGCTTGGAAATGATAGCAGTCGACAAAGCGCTACGACGCTTCTGTCCCCAGGTAACAGGCCACCACGTCTTGGTCCGGTCGGACAACATGTCAGTGGTGGCATACATAAATTTACTGCAGCCCCATGAGTGTTGACACACGTATGGCCACCCAGATCAGGCTGAAAGCTTTCACCCTGGCTGCGCGTTTAATTGTCATATGATTAGCCCCTCTGGGTGCTATTTTATAAGGAATGACGCTTCCAGCCTCTCTTCCTCCACTCTATGTGAGTTTATGGTGATTATGCACTATATGAGCCCCGGGTTTCGGCCCCTGGGACTTTGGTGTTGGATCCCTGTACGCACGGCGTGTTGCATTGTGTTCCCCATAGCGTAAGCTATTACGCAGTACGAGAGATACTCTCGTAAGAGAACATACTCGGTTACTAACGTAACCTCGGTTCTCTCTAGAGAGGGAACGAGTACTGCGTATCTTGCCGTGCTTGGAATACGCTCTGGTTCGCTTCGGCGATGAAAACCAGCTTGTACCAGCCTACCGAGCTTATTTATAGGGCGAGACCACGCCCTTTCTGGCGGGACGTGACGATATGGGCGCGAATTGCCCCCATTGATCATTACGTCACGCAGAGTCTCTCTCGATAGGCTGCTGCATTTGCCGCAAGAGCAGCCAATAGGCGCGCGAGCTGTCTCGCCTATGTTTGCTTGCTGCTGCAAAGCGTTTTACATTAATAAAAAATTAAGGATAATTTTTGGCTTCAATATCTCGTGGAAAAGAGGTTTTTCCCATAGCGTAAGCTATTACGCAGTACTCGTTCCCTCTCTAGAGAGAACCGAGGTTACGTTATGAACCGAGTACGTTTTCATTGGCATTTGCACAGGTTACCATTTTACATTAAACATGCAAAAGTTCTGATATGATTTATCTTTGTTTAATTTTTTACATCACAAAAATTAACCATTTTAACAGGGGTGTAGACTTTTTATATCCACTGTACATGGTTCCATTCTCCAGTAAACTTAACTTAAGACTGTTTACATAAGAAATGTGACATCTGCTTTACAGCAGATTCTGACCATACTGCATAGAAAAGGTATTGCATTGTGTTCTGTTTTGTGATGTCTGTAACTTGACTTTGTTGATCCCATGTATTTATTACCTTCCTTATGCCAGCTACACACTGCACAATTTTGGCAACAACCTACAGCCAAGATACAAGGCAAGGGCAAGGGTGGGAGAGCCATGGCTTCAGCAAGCAACAGTTCTCACCTTTATATTCTTTTTTTTTCTTTTTCTTTTTTTCTGCTAATCAGCACATAGACAACTTGTATCAAAGCTTCTTGCGGGCTACCATTTTGAACAGGAAGAATACTCACACAAGAACTCCTGTATCATGCTTGATTTTACGTTATTTTCTATATCACTTCTCGAGTGTGTTTGGTTGTTCAGACAGAGATGTCGGCGATTCTTTGTATCAAAAAGTTGTGTAATGCGTGACCCCCTGTCGCCGATCTGTCATGTGTTGGGCACACAATAGCACCTAAATGGTACCCCAGATAGTCATGTAGTCTGAGAAGAACAGCGTTCCAATGACTTTCACGAGTTCACACTTACATATAATTTGAGGAAAGATTTAATGCGTATTTGGCGTGCTGTGCGGATTGAGGGCTCCGAGCTCGGAATTCAGCCCGAACCCAGAGTACTCCCCCCGTATGTAAGCGATTTTTTGAACTAGGAGTGTGGAGAACTAGAAGTGTGGAGAAGGGGTGGAGGGGGGATGCTGCAAACTGTCAATGGATCGAGGTAAGACTGTTGAGTCTATATGTACCCTTTTATCATTGATTGCTGATTGCTGTCCACTCGTGTTAATTATCTGAACGTGCTCCTCCCGAACTTAGTTAATAAAACTTCATTTAAAAATGGTGTAGTGTGTTCCCAGCATTAAACATATGCATTGAGTCTATATTGGCTGGAAGGGACATGGGATATTGTAGAGGCAGTTTGAACCATATGTCTGGATTGAGGCTGGTAGGAGTATGATCTGAAGTTCTGAAGATGTGATCTGAGCAAACAAAATAGAAATAGAAATTTAGCACAGACATTTTTTAAAAACAACTGATGCAGGGCCGTCCATAGGGCGGTGCAACTGGTCCCGTGCTTTAGGGGCCCAGCGGCGGACGCAAATAGACCGACCAAGGGGGCCCGCTTCCTCTAACTCAGGCTTGGGACGGCCCTAAACTAATCTCACCTCTCATTTAAACATCCTGAAAATGTCTCAGGCAGGTTACTGATTGCTGAAATGGTTAGTTAATGAAGTGTCACTTTAACAGCACTTGTGTTGCATACTAAACTCACTTTTTTTCCTCTCGGCTGCACAGTCCACAGGAAAACAGCAAACAGCTGCCGCCACATAAAGCCATTATGGCTGAACTCCAACCAATGTACAGCCCTTCTCCGATTTCATACCTAAACACACAGGACACATCTAACATTACACAGTAGAGGCATTCCAAGACTGCGAAATGACAGGCCAATATTGTCTGAAACATAATCACAAACATGTTTGTACAAGTGATCTTACTCATGGTATATTGCTTAATTAGATAACTCCAAATACGATGAAATAGTTCTAAATATTTTCTCTAATAGCTCTACATACCAAGATAATAACTCTTCTTTCCACTTACTTTATTCCTGGATAAAGCGGGTCAAAGAATTCCTGAGTGATATTGAAAGCATACCAAGACACTGCAATCATCGTGCACAGACCTGAAACATGAAAATTAATTTTGTTTCTATAAACAAACTACCAATGTTTAAATTACCTATGCTTCTCCTTACCAAGACAGTCAATCAAAGGTTATTTTGAAGACATTTATTTTGTGAAAGCATAATCTTAATAGTTCCTAACACTTACAAGGTTTAATTAATTAACATTAATGCATTGGGTATCATGAACTATCCTCATGCAGTATTTACTAATCTTGGTTAATGTTATTAAATATATTTTTAACATTGCAATTTGTATAAAATTATGTATAATGAACAAAAAATAATGAACAATGGATAGTATATATACCCTTATATAGAGTAATAAATCCAATATATATTTAAAAAAAAGTTGTTTGATTAGTTCTTGATTAGATTGTGTTGGGTAAACACAATAAAGGCGAACTGACGTACAAGACTCAATAAGATTGTGAAGGTAGATTTTTAACCAAGAGGGAAATTGAAATTCACATAAATGTTTGGTCGGGGAAAGGTATAAACTGTTTTATAGATGGTTTTTTTTTTTTTTTATAAAAAATTCTGTTGGTCAAAACTGTTTCTTGAATGCTCTGTGCAGTGTACCTCAATATATTCACTTGAGTCAAGTCATATTTATTTATATAGCACTTTTTACAATACAGATTGTTTCAAAGCAACTCCACAGAGATAACAGGAAAACAATGCAAAAAAGTTTGTTTCCAGAAGAAAATAGCGTCACAGTCCAGATTAAGTAAGTTCAGTGATGTTTTATTTTTGTTTTTAAAAAAAGTTATTAATTTAGTTCATTTATAAAGCCTCTGGAGTAAACCGTGATGTCATCGTCCAGCTCAGTTCAGTTCTTGTATAATAGTGTCAATGCAGGCAGATCAATAATATTGTTGAATATTAAAGTAAATGTTACATTTTAATGTCCCCAACTAAGCAAGCCAAGCCAATGGTAACAAAGGTGGAAAAAGGCAACAGTGGCAAGGAACCAACTCCATCAGGTGGCAGAATGGAGAAAAAAAACCTTGCAGAACCCAGGCTCAGTCGGGGAGCCAGTTCTCCTCTGGCCAATGAACAAACAGTGTATGATTATGATTCAGGCAGCATTATAGGTCAGAAGTCAGATTGGTTTGGAACAATCAGAGTATTATCCAGTTCCATCTGGCTGAATTAAAAAAATATGACAACTAGCCCTGACTGTCACAGTTAGTTGCAGCAAGGAGTAAGGCAGGATCTATACACAGCAGTCATTTTATTTAACGATAAACCAAATAAAAAACACGCAGGAGCACTGGAGATTTCTGAAATGCAGGAGAATTGACCCATAAACATAGACAAGAACAGAACCAAGAACAACTCAAACTGAGAGCTATAAACAGGGTAGCAAAAGAGCTAAACAATAATGAACAGGTGAAGAAAATCCAACAATGAGTTGCTATGGAAACAAATTAAAACATTCTAGACAGCATGGGAACAAAAGAAAAACAGGAAACAAAAATCAAAATGAAACAGAAACCAAAACTTAAAGGGATAGTTCACCCAAAAATGAAAACTAACCCATGATTTACTCACCCTGAAGCCATCCTAGGTATATATGACATTCTTCTTTCAGAAGTTGTCGAAGTTATATTAAAAAATGTCCTGGCTCTTCCAAGCTTTATAATGGGTATATTTTTTGGAAGTCCATCAAAGCGCATCCATCCATGATAAAAGTGCTTGAAAAGGCTCTGGGGGTTAATAAAGACCTTTTGAAGTGAAGCGATCCATTTGTGTAAGAAAAACATCCATATTTAAAACTTTATTCGACTAAAATAACTAGCTTCCGGCAGACGGCCGTACGCAGGTCGACTTACGGCAAAAGAGTAACACTTGACGATGTATGACGTAGGATGTAGGTGTAGCGTAAGGTTTGACGCCTCTCGCGGTTCAAACAAACAGGGCTGGGCAACCGCGTTCGTCATTACATTGTGTCAAGTTCAAGGGTTAGTCTTTTGCCGTAAATCTATGCGTACGTCCGTCTGCCGGAAGCTACCGTAGTTATTTTAGTCGATAAAGTTTTAAATATGGATATTTTTCTTATACGAACTCATCGCTTCACTTCAGAAGGCCTTTATTAACCCGCCAGAGCCGTGTCGAGCACTTTTATCATGGATGGATGCGCTTTGATGGACTTCCAAAAAAATATACCCATTGACTCCCATTATAAGGCTTGGAAGAGCCAGGACATTTTTTAATTCAACTCCGATTTTATTCGTCTGAAAGAAGAATGTCATATACACACCAAGGATGACTTCGGGGTAGGTAAATCATGGGCTAATTTTCATTTTTGGGTGAACTCTCCCTTTAACTTTACCCTGATTTCCTTTACTGTATATGACAGGTGGTAAGACAGTAAAGGACATCACTTGGTGAAGTTCTTACCTTGCAGTATGAAGAAGACACCTCCAGCCCCAGCGATACGACCCTTCATTATGTAATTCTCCCCTCCTATCTTGGAACACTGCATACCCACTAGAGTTGCCACCAGCCCGAATGCACCTAGCACAATGGATGTGATCATTAATGCACGGCATGCTTGGATTAAACCTGAGAAAACAGAGAAGGAACAGTTACAAGTCTGACAGCTGTAGACAAATAGTAAAATAAAAAAATAAAGATATGTGAATAAGATACAAATATGTATATACATTAAAAAAAGACATTAATATGTACAGGTGTGCTATATAAAAACAGAATAAAATAGATTTAAAGGTAACACTTTACAATTAGGTTTCATTAGCTTCATGATAACTACATCAGTTAACATGAACTCCACTTCTACAGCATTTATTAATCTTTGTTCATGTTAATTTCAACATTTACTAATACATTATTAAAATCAAAAGTTGTATTTGTTAACATTAGTTAATGCACTGTGAAGTAACATGAACAAACAATTAACAGTTGTATTTTTATTAACTAACGTTAACAAAGATTAACAAATACAGTCACAAATTAATTGCTTAATTAACAGTGAGTGGAATAAGTAGAGATGGGGTATTGTTAAATAAATGTAAGTGGTATTGCACATGGTTATCATTGCACAGTGGGGAGAACATTTAGCTGTTCATGAGGTAGATTGCCTGGGGGAAGAAACTTTTCTTTTGCCTAGCTGTTGCCTAGCTGCTTTTGCCTAACGAATTTGAAGAACTCCACAGCAGCCACATTGCTGTTCATGATGGTGAGTAGGGGTAGTGCTGGGGTGTTCCTCCTGAAGTCCACTATCATCTCCACTGTTTTGAGCGTGTTCAGCTCCAGGTTGTTATGACAGCACAAGACAGTCAGTTGTTCAACCTCCTGTCTGTATGCAGACTCGTTACCATTGTGGATGAGGCAGATGACTGTAATTTCATCTGCAATCTTCAGGAGTTTGACCGAAGGATCTTTAGCAGTGCAGTCATTTGTGTGCAGGGAGAACAGCAGTGGGAAGAGCACACATCCCAGTGCTGATTGGGAAAATTCAAGTCCAACATCTTCACATTCTCACTAGCTGTTGTCTATCTGTCAGAAAGCTGGTGATCCATTGACAGATAGAGCTAGGAACAGAGAGCTGGGTTAATCTTTTAATTTAGCCTGGAGGAGTGATGGGATGATGGCGTCGAAAGCAGAATTGAAGTCTACAAACAGGATCCTTGCTTAAGTCCCTGGTTTGTCCAGATGTTGCAGGATATAATGCAGTCCAATGTTGACTGCATCATCCACTGACCTGTTTGCTCGATAAGTAAACTTTAGGGGTCCAGCAAGGGTCCTGTGATGTCCTTCAGGTAGGCCAACACCAATCTCTCAAAGGACTTCATGACCACAGATGTTAGGGTAAAACATTATGAAGCCATTTGATTTTGTTTTCCTTTTTTTTGTGGGGGGATGGGGATGGAGATGATGGTGGAGCAGAAAGGGTTTTCGCAAAGATCCAGTGATCTGTTAAAAGATCTGCTGAGATCTGTAAGAAGATGAGGACCAGCTGGTCAGCACAGATGTTTAGAGAGGCTGGTAAGATGGCGTCTGAGCCTGGTGCTTTTCTTTGTCTTCGGTTCCCTGAAGACCTGACACGTCCTCTTCACAGATCCAAAGTGTAGGAGGAGGGGAGAGGGGCAGGGGGGTTGACGGAGATGTTGATAAATGTGTGGTCAGGGAGGGTGTGGGGTTCGAAGCATAGCAGCCAATTGTAGCGAGGTGAAAGTGATATGGCCCCTTCAAGAGCATTTCTCTGTGGGCGGAGGTGTGCACGCGATTAGATTTGCTTCATAAGACCGGGAAGAGCAGTTGTTGGCGGGGTTTACGGGCTTTATTCGCCATTTCCCCCACGCTTGTGTGCGGGTGCTGTATATTGAGTTAGAGGTTTTTGTTTTAGGCTGATTAGATCTCCCTGTTGGTCGTGGGGCTGGTGGACGCATGTTAGTGACCATTGAAAATGGCGTTGTGGTGCTGTTCAACCCATTAGAGCATTGAATTTCCAGTTTACTTGCCACTGCTCTCTTTCCTCCCCCCTTTTTTTTCCTTTTTGGGATACGTAACCCTTCTTTCTTTTGGTTTTGTTGGTTAAGGTCTGTTTATTAATTTCAGTCTATATATCAATTGAGTCTATATATGGGCTGCTTAAACTATTAATGGTCATTTTCCTGAGCATTTTTTATTCTGAGAACCAACTCATTTGTTTTATTGCTTTTTTTGTTGTTTTAGTGGATCACTGAGGGGTGCTGGTTGGACGCGGGTGTGGTCCCTTTGGCGGATACCCTCCGTTGGTGCTTCATGTACACTGTGTGTTGTGCACATCTTTTCTCTTTGTGTGTGTGTGTGTGTGTGTGTGTGTGTGTGTGTGTGTGTGTGTCTGTGTGTGTGTGTGTTTCTGTGTCTGTGTCTGTGTGTGTGTGTTTGTAGCTTTTTTTTAGGCACGTTTAATGGTGAATTTTATAGGGGCAATAGAGTGGGCTCTTGTCGGTGACCAGTAAGTCCTCCTCGAATGTCCGCTAGTTTTTTTGTGGTTTGTTTTGTTTCTTGTAGTTGGTGTTCTCTCTTTTAAGATTACAGCTCAGTGTGTGATTACACAGACAAAGAATTAAGGCTCATAAATTGGGCGTGTCATTTTCTGTATAATGTCTGTTAATAAATTGTGAGTTTTGTCATATTTGAGAAACACGTCTCTGTTCCTTCTGTTGGTGAGGTACACATTGAATCTGAGAGAGAGATTCAGGGTGGGGTAGTTAGGCTATGTTTGATTGGGCTTATTAATTGCCCATAGGGATTATGGAGCCCTCTTGCTACACTTTCAAAGTACGCAGGCAGTCAACATGCACTCTAGAAAGTTTCATCTTTGTCTAGTGTCAAAGGAACTTAAATACACCGGCAAACAAGGATAATTAACAGCACACACCTGAACTGAATGATGAATCAAATTAATAACCATGACAACAAACTCTACTCAGGAAAATGGTGCAAACTGAAAAACAAAGTCCAAATGGTGTGTGACTATGACAGTTTCCTTCACTTGTATAGTGCTTGGAAGACTACAGAAGGTGTACTGTCTGTCTGCACAGGAAACACCACACCTGCGTGCGGTGCGGCAGCAGTTGTACAGTACTGTGTGTTGCCCTGTCTAGTGGTAAAGGACATAACACGACATGAGAGAGTGGAAGAGGGGATCTTTTGTGGGTTTTAATGATATAAACAAGAGAGCAGCGATCAAACATATACATATGGAAATTTGCTTAGGGAGTTGATCAGGCCAAAACAACAAACAAAAAGTTTACAGATTGCAGCACTTACTAACCCAACAAGACAATGAAAGAAAAGCAAAATACAATAAAATCCACTCCCTACATATCAAAAAAACAAAGAATAAAATGAGCAAACAAAATAGCTTCAAACTCCTTACTTTTCCCAGATTCTTATACAATGTATTTACAAAGCACTATTTACAGGCCAGAGCAAACTACAGTAGTTAGAAGGGCAAACCAAAATCAGTGTCAGTCAATGGGGTCAAAATACCAAACAGTTTCTTACTACTTTCTAATTCACTCTCTGTAGGAGCCGCATTTGAGTTTTATTTTTGGTTTCATAATTTACTTATAATTGTTTTTTCTATTGCATTTGAGTGGTACACCTTCTACAGCCAGAGAGGGCGCTATCCTATAAGTTGGAGTGTGTAGCGCATGAGAGAGGGAGAAGGCGTGCCAGCTGATACAGTCTTTGACCTCGGCCTGGATCTGTGCTACTGAAGCTTGGCCTGTGTGAGAAAGCTGAACGCCAAGCGCAACAAAGGAATGCTTAAAGACATTTAAACCAGTTCTCAGTTTTTGTTTTGTACTTTATATTTATTTGCAATAAATATCCACAATCATTCAAGCAACAACACTCTTGGATTTTCTTGGATTCGGGCTGTGAGTCTGACCCGGTACTCGCATTCTCCAGGTGGTTGGAAACATTAACAGGGGGTTACAGGAAAAACCCAACAATGTTTTTGCCGCTACATTTCGTCAAAGACTAGCTGTGAATTGATCAAAAAAGGATTTATGTTGAAACTACGTGAGGAAGACGAAGCAAACATCGGTCTAAGCGTGGCAAGCCAAACAAAGAAACACTTTGATTGAGGTATGTGCTTTCAAAGTCTATAATTTTTAAAGAATATGGAAACCAATCTCACCGCAGGATTGTTGAGTTGGTGAACTGTGACAAGTAATTAAAAGCGGTGAAAAGCAGTTTGTCGTTGTGAAAACACAGCCAAATTGGAACAAATGAAATGCAACGAGATGTTGATTTTTGCAAAGAATACGAACTGCTTTCTTCATTTTTTGAAAACTTTTGCATTGATTGAAGTAAGATAAAAACTTTCTGAGATTTTTGGGAAGGTTTTTTTTGAGAATAATGGCTGATTCTAACGAGGAAGAAATAACTCCTGGAAGAGACATGAATGAAACTGTCGCGCAATTGCGCTCGTCTAGAGGAGGAAAAATGTCACATGTAACACGGAGAATGAACATTGTAAATGATTTAATGACTAGTCCGGAATTTCTGGATGAAGTTAAAAAAAACATGATTAAGTTTAATGAATTTCTTGAAGAGTTCAAAGCCGTGCATGCCTCCTATAGTGAAATGTTGGATGAGGAAGCAAATCAAGAAGACCACGAAACATGGTATCAGCCTAGATATGTACAGATAACGGCTTTTATGGCTAACGTTGAAAATTGGATTTCAGCTATAGAAAACCCAGGTTCCCAAGCCATAGGTGAAGCCACCTCTTCTGTCACCCAAATAGGAGATTGTGATACTGATACTGATGCGCAATCATTTGGATCACGTGGATCGTCTGTGTCATTGCGCATCAGTGCAGAAGCAGAGAGAGTAGCTTTAATGGCTAAAGCTGCAAAGCTGCAAGAAAGGCATGCAATTGAGGAGCAGGAGCATATTCTAAGAAAAAGGAGATGGGAGAATAAAAAGCTTCAGTGTTGCACGTTGTTTGAAACCAAAAGGCTATGGAACAGCAAAGTGCGCAGAACTACACCACTTTGCTGACGCCAGTGAGAATGGCTATGGCTCAGTGAGCTACATTA